CGGCTGCTTTCAGCGACTCGAAGATCGGCAACCAGATCTTCAGTGCATCTTGGCTTTTATGCTCTAGGACTTGAGGGCTAGGCGACTAGGTGACTAGGCCCGACTAGTGAGACTAGTGACTAGGCCTTGACAACTATACGGCCTCTAGGGCCTCTAGGGCTCTAGGGCCAACCTGGCCAGGCAATCAAGGGCCAATGCTAGACTGTTAGACTCTTAGACTTAGACTCGACTATTTTGACTATGTTCAACTTTGAGCCTTTAAGCCCACAGTACTTCGCTACTACAGCGCAGCACCGCCGCCTCAATCCAATAGCTATACCGTCATATCGATGGAGCCCAAGCTGTGGCTGCTAGAACCGTTGCGTTGGTGCGTGTATCTGGTGCGGTTGAGGCTTTGGAAGGTGGTTGGCACGGCGATCATTGGAGTCATTGGAGAACAAGAACAGCAAAGAACGAAAGAAGGGAGATGGTTCATGGGGTGTGGGTTATTTCTTGTTCGTCCATGTATATCTTTCTATATACTATATAGCTGTGTTTCGCTGCCTCCTTGCCACTGCTAGCCGCTAGCTAGCCTGCCAGACACTGCTGCCAGGTAGTCATCATTCATGCTGCAGATACAGTACAGTATTGTTATCACAGCACAGCTCCTAATCATTAATCATTAGCCCCCTCATTGCCGAATCAGCAGGGATGTCGCTTTGCTGTGTTGTGGGTGTTGTGTGACCCTTGCTGCAGAAGTCCTCTGAGGGTGACAGATTGATTTTCGAGTCGACGAGTGAAGAGTGACTGAGTGACCCGTCATTCAAGGCAGGACGAGTCCTCAAAACTTTGGGCGAGGCCAGAGAGGGCAAAGCGCTGAAGACACGCATCGCTTGCTGCGAAGCCGCTAAGCTGGTTGGGCAGGCCAAGTCTTTGGAAGACTTGGAGACTGCGGACGTCGAAAAGTCTATCAAGCTCTTGAGAGAGCAGGGCTGTGACCTGCCTCTGGCCCAGAAAGCAAAGTTTTGGAAGTACCGCTCGCACATGCTGCTCAAGCTCGCTTGGAAAGCCGGTGCCGCCAGTGCCAGTGCCGCTAGTGCTGACCCTGTGCTCAAGCACGTGCAGGCGTTCGTGAAGGCCCATGCTGTGTACAACTTGGAGCCTGACGCCGAACTCTTCGATCTGGACGAGCCGTCCTTCAACGGCTTGCTGGTGCTGTGCAAGGCCACAGAGGACCAGTTGAAGATGGACGAGAAGCTTGGCGACGATGCCCGCGGCGAGGAAGAGGTGACGATCGAATGGCAGGCTGTGCTGTTGCACGACATAGTGACATAGTGATAGTGTTAGTGATAGTGTTTTAACGCTTTTTTATGTGTAGCATTCGAGTCGTCAGAGTCTCGAGTCTAGACACTAGACATTCTACAATGTATCATCCTTAGAATACAAGCCTTAGAATGAATCGTTAGAATTCTGGATTCGAAACTACAGTTTCTCAAAGTCGTAGACTCGTGTGGAGTCGACAGCAAAAGAAGGTAAAGGTAGACTCCAGGAAGACAAGTGTGGACGATATGAAAACAGACCAAAACACACGTGTGTATGTACTATACATATAAATAATATGTAGGTATGTAGGTATGTAGGTCCTACAGTCCTACAGGTATGTAGGTATGTCGGTGCATAGGCATCTAAGTCAATCTAAGTATGCAGATATAGAGGTATGTCGGTATGTGTCTATGCATACCTTGGAATTTTGTTTCGGAGATTGGTTGCAATAGGATTAGGTCATTCATTAGGGCTGATGTTCAGATGGACACCGTCCATGATGTTATCAGCTCAGGGACACGTAACTAGGTCAACGGCCGCTAGGCGAGCGACTTACTTGTCTTTCAGGCGCTTTTTTTTGAGCAGTAACATTGAGTTTAGAGGCTCAACTTCATAGGCAGCAGCAGTCGCAAGTGTCAGGGCATATCATTAAGTCTAACAGTCTAACAGTACAGTTTTTTCTGTTAGTCACTCTTGTCTTCGTCTGTCGGGAAGCTGGCCGGCTGTGTGCTCCTGAACTGTCATCGTTGAGCCCCAGTAGACTCTACTCAACTCAGCAAACACGAGTTGTGAGTGGCCCAGGTTCGCATCACCGGACACCGGCCAACCCCAAATTGCCTCTGCCGGCTTTTAGGACTCTATTATTCTAGGACTCTAGGACCCTAGTGCCCCAGGACCTAGAAACATCATTATCATCATCGTTGAGCTGTTGGACACCCGAGAGTAGACTCGACTACAGTGACTAGTGACTACACTAGACAGTGAACCAAGTGAGCATGGCAGCAATATTGCATGTTCTGTGCAGTCCCTCGCCAGCGACCTCTTGGACTCCTTCAGTTGTGACACGCTGGTCGGCTTGATCGACAAAGCTGCAGACCCCAAGAACCAGCACCTTCTTCTGAGCTTGGCCACGTGCTGGCTGAGGCTGCCGAAGGCGGATGTGGGAGCGGTGGTCGATGCACCCCAGGTTGTGGATGCATTGTCGAAGATCGATGGTTGGGCGAGGTCAGTGGCATGCTTGCTATGTCCACGGCCCTTGCACCTCGGGACATCGGTGAAGGATGTTTTCTTGTTGACGAAGACAGCTTCGACCGTGTATTTCGAGAAGACGCTGCGGGATGCATTGAAAAGCGACGACTTCTGGAAGGGCAAGTACGGGGATGCACAGCGCACCAGTGCAGCGGATGCAGAGTGGGCCAAGCTTCTCAATGAGCACGAGATCACTTTGAGCTCCGACATTTCGGAGCTTCCCGATCTCGCTACGGCATTGACTGCAGCCTTCAAGCACTGGGACGTCATGTCGAAGGCGCTTCGCAAAGGAGCTGTCAAGGATCTCGAGGACAAGCTGTGTGAGAAGCTTGTGGTTTTCAGCGAAAGGACGAGGACAGCGCACGATCCCGTGCGGACAATTCCAGATGCAATGTTGATGAGCATCTTCGATGCTTTCAAATCTCGCCAAGCTGTTGCAGCGAGTGCACTGCTGCACAGGCAGTATCTGCAAGAGAACGAGACCTCGTTCACCATGCAGGCGCTCGCCAACCTGGCGGCGGCCGAGAGCGGGGCGCTGGACTTGGGTGAAGTTGTGGGCAAACTGCAGTCGGCTGCGGGCGCGTTGCGAAGTGCACCGGAGCTCGACCTGCAAAAGATCGTCTCGCTCGTCTTGCAGAAGCTGGCGTCCACTGTTCAGGAGGCCCGTGCCTGCTATGCTGCTATGCCATTATGCCACTATGCTTTTATGCCATGCTGCTAGCCGCTAGCCGCTAGCCGCGAGAATAGCCGCTAGAAACCTCTTGCATAGCCAAAATAAATGTTTACAAGAGTTACACAGTTACTAGAGTTACTAGAGCAAACTTCAAGCAAAGCTGAACCTCCGATTGTTGATCGTGTATGTGGAATTTCTGACCCGATGGAGATTGCTTTTCTCTCCTTTCGAAACGTTGAATGGCCTTCACATAGAATGTAGCTGCTACAATGTAGCTTTGGGTGATGTTTACTTAGTCAGTAAGTTTAGTAAAGTTTGACTGTGTAGCTTGATTCTAGCTGATTCTAGCTGCTAGCTGCTAGAACACTAGCTGACTAGCTAGGTTCAGCTAGATAGATAGATAGATAGATCTCATGCAGTCAGAGGTCGAGTGTCAGCTTTCTGTTGGTTGCAAGAATTAGATTTCGAAAGCCAAGGTTTTGAGATGTATGTTTTCAGCTTTTTGTGGGGTTTTTAGCATTTTGGTTGGTTGCAAGAATGAGAGTTCGGGCGTTTTGTTGGTTGCAAGAAAGAGAGTTCCAAAGCAGAAGTTGGGTTTGCAGTTGTTGGGGCCCTGAGTTCAGAGCCCACCGGTGTTCTGTCAGTTCAGACAATCTCTGCAAAAGTTCCAGTTCGCAGAGGGCCATGAATCAGTGTGTCTGTTCAATTTGAGCTGGTGTGACAGGGGCAGCATTTCGGTAATTTGTTTGGGCCCAGACTTCGAGCCTCAATGCCTATCGATTGGTGACTACGACTGGGTTTGGACCATTTCATTTGGATTCATGGTTTTAGTGACTGATGACTACTACGTTACGAAGCACGACCTAGTCCCCTAGTCCCAGACTCCTAGACACGGCCAGATACGACAAGCGGTGGTGCCCCTGAATATTCGCTCTAACTATACTCTAATTATAATTGTACTATTACTACATATTGCAATGATGTCCATGTCCGCAAGGTGGCTGGGCATGGCTTCATCGGCATCTCGGAGCAGGTGGGGAAGGACCTGGAGTCGGCCCGTCACCAGGCCAAGATGGGCCTCCGTGTCATCGTGATCTACCAGGATATTGTCGTGGGCAAAACAGTTGAGCATGGATAGCGGCTAAGGCGAAGGCCTTTTGTTCGATTGAAGCTGCATGAATTGAGTAGATTAGCCGATGATGCTCGCGTAGCCTGGTAGACACTTGTCAAGGCCGGAGAGGTGGCCAGGTTCATCCGTTTCCAAACCTCACCGGGTTTTTGCCTTCCCATGAAGGACCATTACTTCACGGAAGAGCAGCAGCTTTTGGCGCAGTGGCTGATGCAGGTGGCATCCTTGAATGCAGACCTCCTGGCAATGTACAGCGAGTTGCACAAGTGGTTGCTTTTGGGGCCACAGAGAGACTTGGGACAGGCCATCAGCAACGATGCCGGGGGTATCGGCTTCGACCAGCTCGTCCGCAGCTATGTGGTCGCGAAGTTCAGCCATGACAAGGCCGTCAAGGCCGAGGAGGAGCTTGTGGCGAACCCTGCCGGCCGAGACTGGGCCACCAGCTTGCTGCAACACTCCACGGCTACCGAGGCCGAAGGTTTCTTTGAGCAGACGATCTTCCAGAACATCCTGAAGAAGCACTTCGGCCGCTTTCAGGAGCTTGTGAACGACAAGATTAAGGAGGCCGAAGCCTTGACAGAGGGTTTGGACAACCGTGAGGTGGACGGCAAGAACGGGCATTGGTGGAAGCAAATCGATAACAACGATATGGAGAATAATGAGCATCTCCTTGCAGATGCCATCATGGTGGCTTCCACTACCATCGGCAAGTTGGACGGCGGCTTGCTCAAGAAGAAGTTGGATGAGGTGAATCAGGCCGGCGAGATGAAGATTAGCTCATTAGCACTATCAGCAGATGATGTCATTTTTCAGCAGCATAGTGGCTAGTGCAAAATCGCAGAAGCCCACTCCGAACATGCGGATTGCATTGCGGTCAAGATTCGAAATTCGCACTCATATATTGTAGGGATTGTAGGGTCTGTGTTTCGATACCGCTTACTACTAACTGTTACTAACTAAGTACCTGTGTGTAGCAGCCGTGTAACATGGGTGCAAGGGTGCATCTTCCCGTGTTTGTTGATGTGCAATGGGCATGCTGATTTTTGTGTCATTGCCAGGTCCGCTAACTCTTAGATGCATGCAAAATATATTTGTAAAGTAGTTTCTCTTCCAATCTGAAACTATATTCAACGCCGCTGTCTTGAAACTGTCCGTGCCAAGCCTGACAGGCATTGTCCGACATGGAGCGCTTCGCCCAGAAGTACAAGCGTGCCTTCGCAATCGCGAAGGTCAGCCCGCCTCCGGACATGATGATGCAGCTGCTGTCCCAGCGGCGAACAGGCGTGCAGAGCATTGCGTGCCTATGCGCAGAAGGACTGCTGTGGCATGCTTTCAAGCACGAGAATAAGAAGGTTGCGATGGCCATTGTGAACTCCGTGTTGGAAGAGCTTGCGGCAGGGGTTCTCAAGGAAGCTTTGATTCACCCAGCCTTTGTCAAAAAGGCTAGGGACATGCAAGCTTGAAGCGAATGGCTCGCTTCTGTCTCGCGGTGATGCTCCTCTCGTAGCTGTGTAGAGCTTCGCCTTCCGCACCAGATGCAGATACGACTGTCGGCTCTGCTTGCGCATGAAGCTTATGGTTATGCCTCGGCTAGGCTAGGACGGCTAGGACCGGCGGCAGACAACTAAACCAGTGTGCCAGTGCACCGGACCACCCCACCACAATCGTGCCATGCTGCCCTGCTGCTATGCCGCTGTTCTGCCATTGCTGCTATGCCCGTTTGCCAACACACCGTGCCAATATATCACCGCACTACTTTACTAACTTTACTAGCCGCTACTAGCCGCCGCACCGCCATGCCACCATGCCACCACACCTGCTCACCACTGCACCACCACTTGAGTGATCCAATACGAAGGGTATGACAGGACACATAGCTGGCGCCCGCTTGTTCTGATTAGCTTAGGGCTTAGGGTTTGGGCAGGGATTTTAGGTTGGGGCCTGGGGCCAGAAGAGTCAGGGTTTTCGTTATTCACATAAGAAATATGAGCAAGACACAGGCCAGAATTCCAAATTGCCCGGCAAATGAAAACTCTTCATGCCTATTTAGCCATCTTAGCTTATTTGCCACTATCGGACTATAGCGAGTATCGCACTATCATCGGTCAGTTGACAGGGATTACCGGGTGATAACCCTATTCATCGAATGTCCAAGCCATAATTTAATAACTACTAGTCACTAGTCGCTAGTCGCCCACGGCCAAACGAATCTACAGACTTACAGCTTGCGCTCAGAAAGGTCACAAGGACGTGCGATGTTTCTGATCATTCGTGACCATTCGTGTCAATACTAGTTACTAGTGCTGACGCATGCAGAAAAGATCACTTGCTGTTGTGTCGAAGGTTGAGCTCTCAAACTTAAGAGCAATCAACGATCGCATCTGGCAGAGCCGATAGATAGTTCTTGCTGGTTTTCTCCGATCCTGTTGCAACGTACTGCGACACTTCCTGCAGCGATAATGCTGGATTTAAAGGTTATGGGTGCAGCAATCAAGCCTCGGTAAGCTTAGGAACGGCCTCATCATTTGTGCATTTGGCACTTCCTGGCTGCCCATGACCAAGCATTGGATCGTTGCAGAGCTGTGGCCCTGGCTGTGATTATATCCTATAGCATAGTTATAGCTATGTCGTCCCACGGGCTCCCGAATTCAGTAAGTAGGTCTATTTGGTACTTGTAGCTTGTAGATTGAGGTTCTGCCGAAATTGTATGTAGATTGTAGAGTTTTAGTCACGATTTTAGTCCTACAATCCTTATTCCTGACTTCGTATTGCGATAAGCCATCCGTTCTGGACGTAGTGGACAGTCGTCGATAGAATAGGCTTGATCCATCCCGCTTCCGAACTGTGCACATCCGTTTATCGGTAGCTGCAGCTACATCCGCCAGAGGCGCTAGACTCGCCAGAGTTAAAGCTGCTAGACTTAGAGTATTAGAGCTCAGCTAGAGAGGTGCATGCTGTAGAGTCGTTGCGGCTTGAAGAAAGTTTTTGGTAGGTTTGGATTCGGTCCCTTTAGGTTTCCCGAAATACTTGAGCCTTAAGAATCATGCCCGACATCACCTCGAGTTCATTGAGCTGGACATGCACAGCTGGCCAGCAGCTGCGACCAACAGCAAACTTGTTGTCCGGTGGGAAGGTGGACACGGACATGCCAACCGGGCATGCCTGAGATCACTTTGCCGTGGCCGTAAAATGCGTGCATCGGTGGGTCACGTGTCCTTCGCATTGTCTCGCCTATAAGTGTGTACTTACTTTGTGGGTGCTTCAAAACGACCAGCAAGCATTGCCTCTTCGTTCACAAGACTCTGAACGCAGTGACGTTCAAAGCAATCTCAGTAGGAACAAGAATAGGACCTGACGAGACCAGTGACAATTACTGACAATTTGCATTCATGCCATACGGAGACCTTACTTTGATAGGATACTATGTCTATGTATACTAAGTTGTAGAAAAATTAGATTATTTGATGCGTTCATGTGTCCTAGAGTCCTAGATTCCTAGATTCGAGACATGAGCTCTGCAGTGCTCCTCTTGATTCATGTGCAGAATCGCGATACTTCTGATGTTCATCCCAGGTGTATGAGTGTATGCCTTCGTAAATGTTATATATATATGCATCACATAGGTACATGTCATAACATGTTTCAAGGCAACATAACCTCCCCAATTTTGATTATTGTATGCGTATGGATACTGCTACCCATGCAGTCTTTACACAAAATGAATTGGCCGGCATGGTGGAGGGGTCGACAAACTTGTGTTAATATATGTCCAACCTGTTTATTTTGTGATAGGACATAATGAAAATAGAAGTACATTCGTGAGAGTTACTATTTGAATGGATTGTAATTTAGATAGCAGCACATTTCACATAATTTTGAGTTTGAAAGAGTTTTCATTGTTCAGTCGAGGTATTCCATTTTGTGTGAAGTCGTTCAGCTGCAGCTGGATCCCACTTCCGGAACAGCAGGAAACCATTGACTGATGCCCTCCTCTTCGTGTCTATCCGAATCTAGCCGATCTAGCCCTGAACGACACATGACTACCTCGGTCGTTTGCGATTCTACGACTACGATTCCCGGAGCCAGACTTGTGGTGTTCGGGAGTCGGATTCTGGACCCAGGCTACTTCTACAATGATTCTACAGTATACAGTTTCTGCAAGGGCGAAAAATCAATGCTCAACCATGTATCCATTGAGAAGACTGAGATTTAGATATCAAGAACATTTCGCATGTCCTTTGTGTGCATGACTTATAACTTGACTTTACTCTCGTATCGAGACACACCGAACACGAGATATGTCACCAGAATGCAATTGCCTGCTGTAGAATGATTCGTTGCTGGGAATTCCTGTTTTTGCAAACTTTTTGTGTGAACATGGTGCCACTGTTGCCTTCTGGCGATCATTTTTGTTACCTTTTTTTTATCTTTTTTTTACCTTTAGACTTACCTTTTTTTCGCGTGTTATGCTACCTTTGTGCACGGCTCCAAAAAATTGGTTTGCCTTTGGTTTTGCCTCTGGTTTTGCCTTTGTTTTGCCTTTTACCTTTCTGACTACCTTTCTTCTGCCTTTTCATTTTGCCTTGTGCGCTGCCTTTACCTTTTGCATTTACCTTTTATTTGCCTTCATTCTGCCTTAAATTCAAATCAACAAAACCCAGCCTGTGTAGGAAGAAAATCTTGTTAATCATAAAGTCATAGAGTTACAGTGAGATTAGGCCGCCACGTTGCTTGCTCGCTCTTTCGCAAGACAGCGTCGAAGCAAGCAAGCAACGGTGCAACCTAGCCAGAGCGAAGAATTCGCGGCCCGCACGGCTCACCGTGGAGTCAAGGGCCGCGCGGCCTGAGGAGGTGCCGGGAGAGGTCATCCCAGGGATTACGGCGGTCCGGAGCCTCATGAAAACTGCTGATTGTAGTTGCAAAGGTTCATCGGGAGCCCCGAGCCTCCATAGCACGCATTATACCAACCCAAGGTATAGTATCATGGAAGAAGAAACATAGCGGCAGCTGACGAACATCCCCAAACGGAAGTCGCAACACTGGTCTCTGAAAGTAGCAGGGAATTAGGGTTTCGCTCTTCATCTCAAACCACAAGAGGCCAGCGTATGTTTCTTAGCCGACCCAACAGACTCCAGGGGAACGCCACGGGCTTAGGGGTCCTTATTTCGTGTCTATCCACACCGGATAATCCACGAGGGCCTAGTAGGACTAATGCAGGGATCACGGTGGTCCGGAGCCTCCTCTAGAAAGATTGATTCTAGCTGCAGACATTCATCGAGAGCTCCAGGCTTCGGTGACACCCTGTGTATCAACCCTTGGTATACTATCTCAGAAGAAGAAACCCGGCGGCATCTGGCAAACATTCCCAAGCGGCAGTCACAACACGGGTCTCTCAAAGGATGATTGGGGATTTAAGATCTATCCTATACCACAAACGGGTCCACCTCGCTGAGCCGCTGCGCGACTCGTGCCGCCGGGAGTCCAGCAGCGGAAGGCAGTGCAGCCATTAGGGATTTGGGAAGACACCGTTCCGAAGTGAAACACCCCACTTCACTAGGAAACCCGCCAGATGCCGCGAAGTATTTAACCCGCCAAGCAATCGAGGAGCTCCTGCGTCTCGATGAACCTTTATCTGCTCACAGGATGTCGCGGCCAGGAGATGAACCGAGGCATTGGGAATCACTACGCTTCCGCCGCACCAATGTACCAATGCGAGCACTTGAAGTTGCCGTTGATGGTTCGCCCATCATAGTTCTCGCTCGGCAGCCTTCGGTTGTCAATCGGCCTGAGATGTCCACGGTACCTCACGACTTCATGGTGGAATTCTGCACATCGGCTGGATCTGTTGACGCATCCATAGTCTTGATGTTCACATCTGCTTGATGTTGGGCTGGATTTGTTGACGCATCCATAGTCTTGATGTTCACATCCGCTCGATGTTGCAACGGCAACTGCAACATGTCCACGCTTGCTTCATAAATGCACGCTTCGTGCAATGCGTTGTCTCTGTAGCACACACACACACACACACACCCATACAACTGGTTCGGGGGAGTTCGGAGGATCAAGTGAGACCACAGAAGCCTTCGATTTGACTTCCATCTATGCAAAACAACAGACCTTACACTGCATCACGAAGCATTTCGGAGTCGGGTTGAAGGTGGAGGGCCAGCGCGGGAGGAACCTGGACCTAGACTAGGCTACGGCTACTCTTCCCAGGCGACCCTCCCCGGCCTTCGTCGTCACGTACCCGGCTTTCCGAGTAATTTCTGAAGCTGCTCACGAAGGTTGCCAGCCTAGAAACAACAAGCAAGCGCTTTCCTTCCTATGGCGGCTACGTTGCTTGCTTGCTCTTTCGCAAGACAGCGTCGAAGCAAGCAAGCAACGGCCCAAGCGACCGTCTCGGCCTGGACCAAGTGGGAGACCAGCATCAGGGAGGCGGCCTGGTGAGGTGCTGGGAGAG